CGATTTACTTTTTATTGTGCACCAAACTTCTAATATATGTCCAAATGGGATGGAAATTGGCACATACGTCCGAGTTGAATCTAAAAGCTAGTATGTCAAATTTGGTGAAGATCGGTTCAAATATAGCTATAGCTCCCATATATCCTGTCATCCGATTTGTTATATTTGTTACCTACAGTCGTAATATGCACTCCGGCCGACTTTAAGACTTTCTTCACTGTTTTTATACCCTACACCACAAGGTGGTCAGGGTATTATGTCTTTGTGCATTTGTTTGTAACAGGCAGAAGGAAACGAGATAGACCCATAGTTCCTTTTGATGATCTGCATAGAATCACATTCTGAGTCGATTTATGCATGTCCGTCCGTCCGTCTGTCCGTCCGTCCGTCTGTCCATGTATTTTTGTAAACAAAGTACAGGTCGCATTTACTGCCCGATCCAGATGAAATTTTGCACAGATCATTTTTTTGGCCCAAGGACGAACCCTATTGAAATTGGAAATAATCGGTCAAAATTTAGATATAGCTCCCATATATATCTTCAGCCCGAATTGTATGAAATTTTGCACATACACCCCAACTAGGCCTGAAAATAAGTATGCCAAATTTGATCGAAATCGGTTCAGATATAGCTTTAGCTCCCATATATATTGTTCATCCGATTTGTTATTTTAGTCCTCCGCAGCCGTAATATGTACTCTGTAACAACAATATTTGGGGAAATATTTCAAATACAGCTCAGAAATACATTTGCTAAATTTTATCGAGTTTGGGTCAGATTTGGATATAGCTCCCATATACAAACTTCGTCAGATTTACTTTTTATTGTGCACCAAACTTCTAATATTTGTCCAAATGGGAATTTGGCACTTACGACTGAATTGAGTCTAGAAGCTAGTATGTCAAATTTGGTGAAGATCGGTTCAAATATAGCTATAGCTCCCATATATCCTGTCATCCGATTTGTTATATTTGTTATCTACAGCCGTAATATGCACTCCGGCCGACTTTAAGACTTTCTTCACTGTTTTTTTTTTTTTTTTTTGGAAAATTGCCCTGCCGATCTTACTGTCTAATTTTTAGAGATACTTTAAATTATACGAAGTATACGAGTTTGGCTTTGGCATTGAATTTAAATGAATTAAAATGTTAAGTTATAAGAAAAAGAATCTAACTGAGCATTAAGTGTAAAAGAGAGAGAGAGAGAGAGAGAGAGAGAGGTATAGATAGACCCCATAAAGTATATATATTCATAATCAGCATAAAATTCTAAGTCGATTTAACGATGTCCCTCTGTCTGTCCGCCTGTCTGTTGAAATCACGATACAGCCCACATTATTTGACGTAGAGCGCCAAAATTTAGCAGAGCAATTTGTATAGTGTCTAGAATGGTTGGTATTGAAAATGAAAAAAATATCGGTCCACGTTTTGGTATAGTCCCCATATAACGGAACCTCCCGATATTCGGTTTATGCCACATTTTTTCACGGATTTGTCTGAAAATTGATGTTTATAGGTCATAACGGGTCCCAGTTCGTGTGGCAAAACATTGCATGTATAGGTCCACGCTTTGGTATAGCCCCCATGTAAAGGTACCTCCCGATATTCGGTATTTTGATTATTTTTGCCACATTTTTTCACGGATTTGTCTAAAAATTGGTATTTGTTGGTCATAATGGGTTCCAGCTCCGGTAGCGAAACATTGCATGTATGGGTCCACGATTTGGTATAGCCCCCATATAACGGTATCTCCGATATTCGGTATTTTGATGATTTTTGACACATTTTTTCACGAATTTCTCTGAAAATTGGTAGTTGTGGGTCATAATGGGTCCCAGTTCGTGTGGCGAATCATTGTAATTATAGGTCCACGTTTTGGTATAGTCCCAAACAACGATACCTCACGATATTCGGTAATTTGATGATTTTTGTCACATTTTTTTTCACGGATTTGTCTGAAAATTGGTATTTGTTTGTCTTAACGGGTTCTAGCTCTTTTGGCGAAGCACTGTATGTATAGGTTCACGTTTTTGTATAGCCCCATATAGCTGTATTTCCCAATATTTGGAGTTTTGATGATTTTTGGCACATTTTCCCATGAATATGTCTAAAAATTGGTATATGTGGGTCATAATGGGCTCTAATGTTTCCTTTACTCTAAGGTGGAGGGTATTAAAAGTTTGGCCCTTTTTCTCAACAGAAATTTTGTAAATAGCTCATCATTCTCGAAATCAGCCATATTCTAGTCTCAATATTGAATGAAAGCATGCCAACAAAATATCCAAAACCGTATCTGTAAAATCAAAACTTACAAATAGATAAAAGGAGCCTTCCCATTTTTGGATTATGTCCGCTTGGGCAATACGGTGGCCGTTCCTCTTTTCAATCTAACTATAAGCCAATAAATACTTTTTTCATTCAATGTCAATGTTTATTTTTTTAATTAATAATCATAACAAAATTTTATTACTTACAGAAACATCATCATATCGTTAAACCTGAAATATTATGTTGTAGATCTTCTGAGGGATAAGAATAAAGCTACCGTTCGCACACACACACACAGCCGTCCCATTGCCACCTTGACGTCCATGCCAATTCATTTTCGGGAAAAATGAATCATTTAGTTGGACACGACATTGGACGTCGCTACCGTTTGCAGGATCTACGATTGCACCAAACACGAAGTATCAGTACGAGTTACCAGCAGATGTATCCCATGGTCGATCGATTCATCCATCTCCCTTTTTTTGCAACTTTAGACATTGACATGGCTATAAGCGGCATGCTCCTTGACGATGTTGTCTGTTGGTTTGCATGCATCGAACATTAAGTCGTTTAAGGTATGAAGAACATGATAAATGCTTCGTTACTTATGTTGATTGTTTTTTAATTGATTCTGTGGATGGTAGCGACTTCAGTTGCATTTTCGCACACACACACACACACGTATTATACATGTGCTTTGCAAGTTAGATACCTTTTAATGTAGAAGTTGTGATTTTGTGCATATTAATTGGAAAATATTGAAAAATCATTAGTCTCTGGCACAATGTTAACATACCGCAATGCACTATAAGTCCAGTACTAAATGGGAAATGACCAAAGGGCATACCATGGGTTTTGTGCAGCCAAACAATTGTCAAGAGAATATATGTGTCAAATGGTATTTTGGTCGTTTTTTTTACGCTCCACCATAGTATGGAGCAACAAACTTCAGACTGCTGTCATTTCTAAGGCACTCGTCCGACAGCTGTTAAAATTATTCCAGTGATGTCCCGGAATTCGGTTGATGATCAGGAACGACGATGCCATGATGTTCCGAAATTCGGTTGATGATCAGGAACGATTATATTACATATATGGTGAACAACAAATGGAATGAAGGAAGTTGTATATCGAAGGTATATACAAATCTGAACCGATCTCGATAAAATTTGCCAGAGCTATTTTCGCGCAGTATCATGCCCGGTGTCAAATATTATTGTTGTGGAGTGCATATTATACATGAGAGGGACTTAAAAAGTCAAATCGGATAAATTATACATATATATATATATATATATATATATATATATATATATATATATATATATATATATATATATATATATATATATATATATATATATATATATATATATATATATATATATATATATATATATATATATATATATATATATATATATATATATATATATAGGAGCCATAGCTATATCTGAACCGATTTTCACCAAATATGAAGTACCTGTTTCTACGATAAATTCAGTCGGGAATGGTATAAAGATGTAGAAGAGAGCTATACCTAAATCTGAACCGATTTTGAAAAAAATTTAAACACATATTTCTGTGTATATTACGCATGTGAGGAACGTGAAACCTCAAATCGGATGAAACATATATATGGAGCTATAGCTATATTTGAACCGATTTTGTCCAAATTAGAATTTTTAGAATTTTGGTCTAGACTGATTTCGTTTGGATGTGCCAAAATTCAGGTCATTTGCGCTATTGGCCATTTGGTGTACAATTAACCCGAACCCGATTGAAGATATATGGGAGCTATATCTAAATCTGATCGGATTATCACCAATTTCAATAGGTGAAACAAATATTGTTTGGAAAATGTCATCTCAATCGGATAATAAATGCGACCTGCATTTTGTTCACAAGAATACATGGACTGACGGATGGCAGTCGAAACAGCTCCACGCCTTCCTATTGCCCCGAATTAACTTCCCATCCCAATATTCGGTATTTTTATACCCTCCACCATACATGGTGTTTAGCTCAGAGGGTCTCCGCCGATGGGAGTAAAACGCCGAATGCGTGGAGCAGTGGACCGTAGGGGGATATGTAAAATAGAAATAAATAAAACACAAGGGTTTTTCTTAGTATAAAGTAGATCTGTTTATTCTTAGTTTGGTTAGTGGGTAACAATATTACCTGTGGCAACAATATGCCTTTCTACACACAACGATATGTGCTTTGCAAACGATATTACGGGTGTTGTCTGTCCGAATGACAGCGAAATACTACTTGATGTCTTAAGGAGGCGGCAAAACAAGTGACAAGTAATTAGTAGTTAAAATGTCAAAGGCGCTAGCACAAGGTTGCAATAAACCGTAGCGCGTACATTTTATCGACTAATTAAGGACCAAACCAGGGGTCAATAAAAACCAATTTTGAATGCAATTCTAAATTAAACACATGGTATGGAGGGTATATTAAGTTCATCATTCCGTTTGTAACTCATCGAAATAAATAATTTTAGACCCAACAAAGTATATGCAGGGTGAGATAAAACAAGTAAAAAAGCTGTAAGTTCGGCCGGGCCGAACTTTTAATACCCTCCACCATTTGGTACAAATTTGACAATTTCCAAAAAAAAAAAAAAAAAATAAAATAAATAAAATCCTTTAAAAATTCTGTTAAAATCTTAAAACTACCGAATGCCTATACGACGACGTGGACCTGCATAGGCAACTTTTGTCATAAGTTATTACAATAATAGAATAGAAAATAATAGAAAAGTCTGTTTATAATGTAGCTAAAATCATCAAAACACCGAATATAGGGGGTACCGTTATATGGGGGCTATACGAAGACGTGGACGTTCATGGCCCATTTTCTGTTTTATGCTGCAGTATCTATTACGAACTTCAAATACCAAATTTGGAACGATTCAGTTAAATAATGTCGCTAAAATCATAAAAAATACCGAATATCGGGGGTACCGTTATATAGGGGCTATACGAAGACGTGGACCTACACTGATTATTTTCTGTTTTAGGCTGTAGTATCCATTACGAACTTCAAATGCCAAATTAGAAACAATTCCGGTGAATAATGTCGCTAAAATCATAAAAATACCGAATATCGGGAGGTACCGTTATATGGGGGCTATATGATAACTTGGGCCTACATGGCCCATTTACGAACTTAACCTGCCTACTGGCAAAATACACACGTGTGCAAAATTTTAGCCTTCTATCTCAATTTGTTCGAAGGATAGCGTGATTACAACAGACAGACAGACGGACGGACAGACACACAGACAGACAGACGGACATGGTCTTAGAATTTTACGATGATCAAGAATATATATACTTTGTTGGGTCTGACATGAGTATTTCGACGAGTTACAAACGGAATGACAAAATTAATATACCCTCCATAGTATGGTGGAGGGTATAAAAAACAGCAACAAAGTCAAACTCCATTGTTCTTACATTTTTTTTTTTAAATTTTATTGAATGAAAGCAAAAAATGTCGGAAATAGCATCAAATTTTAGAATAAGTTTAGATTTGTTCAAATTGGTCACCTTTGGTACGAATTATGGCCTTCAAACGGCCAATGAAACCGTCACACGCTGCCCGAATGTTGCTCTGCGGTATTTTGACCCATTTCCGGCGAAGCGCTTGCTTGAGGTGATCGACACTTTGGTATTTTTTAGTGCCAACCTTGCCTTCGAAAATACTCCAGACACAATAATCCAACGGATTGGTATCCGGAGAGTTTGGAGGTCAGGAGGTTTTGAGGTTTGGAGTTGTGCATTGGTGCGTTGAAAATGAAGCGAGTAACCTTATTTTGTAACCATTCTTGGCTGGCACGTGCTGAGTCCTGTTGGAATGCCCAAGGTCTGCGGCTAAAATGTTTACGTGCCCAAGTCTTTAATACACCCTCCAGAATATTTTCGCGATAAAATTCGGCATTTATTCTGATGCCATGGTCGATTAATACGAGCGGAGAGCGACCATCGGCAGTAATGGCGGCCCACAACATCACCATGGCCGGCGCTTGAATTCTGGTGGCCAACCGAAGGTGCACGTTTTCAGCTGACCTCTTTGGCAAGTAAACATGACCATTTTGTTTGTTTACAAACTGCTGGGCAACGAATGTTTTCTCATCAGAGAAAAGCGAAGCAACTCTTTAGCTCTTTTGAGTCTATCTTCTTTCTGTTGCGGTGTAAGTTCTTGTACTTTTCGGAATTTCAATGGCTTTACCCCGAGCTCATTTTTAATAAATGAAATGATTTCACAATAACTTAAATATATAATAACTTAAATATAAAAATAAATCTTGATTTTTAATTCAGTTCTAACAAATTTTGTTTATTAAAAAACTAATTAAATAAATAATAATAATCATAATCTATAAAACAAGGCAGTAGTAGTTTTGGTATTACAATCCACACAGGTAGACAGACAGACAGACGGACAGACAGAAATCTTTTATCAGAACTTTCTCAAACTTATCTCATTTTGCATTTACTTTTCCACTGACATGGAACTGTCAGGGAAAACATAATCGGGGCAATCACACACGTAATGAGCATTTTGGTAGGTTTCAGACCCTTGGGTTGTTTTAAATTCTTCTTTAACAGCTGTGTTTACCGACTCTAGTATGTCACATAGATTTTTTCCACGTATATCCTTTTTGATTTCTGCACATAGCTTTTGTATATATATTTTTCCTCCGGTTCCTTTTTGAAAACTAATTGTTCCTTCTGCGGTACAATATGATATACAAAAGCATTTAGGAGGGATTTTCACTTCACCATCTTTTTGCATTGGTTTGTAATTATTTAGTTCACCTCGACAGGCCTGCACAACTAACCATTTTAGTTTTGAATCTAATTGCTTGATTTTGAATAGAGGACAAAGTAAGTGTCTCCGGGCGTCTGCTACTTCGTTGATCTTCTTCATAGTTTTTCCTGCGTCTTCCACTTCGTTTTTTGTTGTTAGCTTAATTAGACCATCGGCCTGGCCGTGAGACATGCAAAAAACTGCAACAAACTTACATTTTTCAAATTCGTCTAACCATTCCTTGTCCTTCGCAACTAAAAGAATGATACGTTGGTCAAAAATTTTCAAAAAGGCTTAGGAGCTCTTCAAGGTTAGCGTTTTCTTTGTCTTTGAATTTGTCATAATTTTCAAAAAAGAATCCCCTATGGGTCCACGTTTCTGTACCTTCCCCGAACCTGATCACAATTTCCAGAAAGGTTCTATTGGTCTCTTCACACGCTTTCGTATTTCCCCCGAAACTAGGGTCAAAAAGTCTTCGAGTCCGAGTTTTTGTACCTTTCCCTGAAAAGGTCGAAATTTTAAAACAAAAGATTACTTTATGGGTCCGGCTTTTCTTACCGTACTCGGAACCAGAAAGGGTCCAGAAATCTACGGCCGAGGTTCTGGGGCAAAGTTTTTTGTACCTCACACAGATGTAGTGAACATTTCCTGAATGGGTTCATAGGTTTCCTAGATCCAAGTTTTCGTACCTCCCCTCCCCGAAAATTAGCTAAAATTTCCAATACGGGTCCAAAAGTCACCTAGGTCCAAGTTTTCGTACTTTGTGGGTTCTTTGTGGTTCCGCGTTTTCTATATCCCGTTTTTATACCTTCCCCGAATGTGGTCATAATTTCCAGTTTTTGTATTTGTACCTCCACTGAGAACTGGCCGAAATGAGCCCACAAGTCCACGTTTTCGTATCTGTCTGTAACAAAAGGGTCCTTAGGGTTTTCTTAGCTCTCCTAGAATTGTTCATGATTTCCATATTTTTGTACCTTCTTCAAAACTGATCATAATTTTCAATTTTCGTTTTTGTACCTTCCCCGAAAACTAGCCAAAATTTCCAAAACAGGTCCACAAGTCTCCTAAGTCTAAGTCTTCGTACCTGAAGACCCCACCCCTGAATTCGTTGGAATTTCCGGAACAAAAGTGTCCTTTATTGGTCCACGTTTTTTTTAGCACCCCTTGAATAGTTCATAACTTCCAAAAAAGAGTCGCCTATGGGTCCACATTTTTGTAGCTTCTGGTCACAATTTAAACAAAGTTTCCATTGGTCTCCTCTCACGTTTTCGTCTTTCACCTGGAACCCTTCACAATTTTTACAAAGTGCATACAATTTTTCCTTTTCCAAGTTTTCTTACTTCGGAATTCGTTAAAATATTCAAAAAGGACCCTTATGGGTTCACGTTTTCTAATCTTCCACGGATCTGGAAGCCGTCAAAGTTTATAGACAGGATCCGTAGGAAATAATATGCTGTGACGGGAAAGTAAGAAAAAAGCTAAATTTTTTGACAATTTTGACAAATTCCGGGGGAGGTATGTTATTGTAGGAAACGTGTTTAGTACTGCTTCGGGGAGGTAGGAAAACGTGACCCCATAGGGTACCCTTTTCGGAAAGGTGGGGCACTTAGGGTCTACCGCTAGTAAACTAAAAACGTGAAACTTAAAACTTGAACCCAAAGAAAAACATTTCTTAGCGAAACGTTATCGACCTTGGGGAAGGTTCGAAATCCCTTGACTACTTACATGATTTGAATATATCATCCACGGTTTTAATATTTTCATCGATCAGCTCGACTAGTTTTACTTCGAAAGATGCGTTGAAGGCCTCAGAAATTGCGGCTCTATCTTGGTCTAAGCCATCTCTATCGTAGTCAGTTGCAACGACAATGACAACACACATATCCTTCGGAGCCATAACCTGAAAACAATTGGAAATGACAATTTAAAAGTATAAAAAAGGGAGCCCAATTTTGCACGATGGTGCGGCAATTTGCTGCGGAGAAATGAAAAGGTTAAACACTTGTTTGCGAAAAACTATCAGAACTATCCTCCGAATGACCCTGTTGGCGGTTGGGAGGACGGTCATACTACTCAGGGTTAATCAGCAATGGGGAAAGTTAAGTATAAGATAAATCTTCCTATTTGTACCCAACACCACATAATGGTAAGGGTATCACGTCTCTGCGCATTTTTTTTAATATGGAGAAGGTAGCGCGATAAACCCATAGTTACTTTTGAGGATCTTCATATAATCACTTTCTGAGTAGATTTATGCATGTCAGTCCATGTATCCATGTATTTTTGTGAACAAAATTCGGGTCCAAGGACAAGTCCTATGGAAATTGGTGAGAATCGGTTCGAATTTATATATAGCTCCCATATATATCTTAAACCGATTTGGCAGTTTGAAGGCCATAATTCATACAAAAGGTGACCAATTCAAACAAATCTAAACTTATTCGAAAATTTGATGCTATATCCGATATTTTTTGCTCTTATTCAATAAAATTGAAAAAAAAAAAACAAGTAAGCAAAGGCTACAGTCGACCAGGGCCGACCGTTGAATACCCTACAACACTATAATAAACGATACAGTTTATATAGGCGAGATACTCGAAAGAATTCCACAAGATATTGTGACAAATAATAAAAGAAAACCATCAGGTTTCGTTCTCTAATAGCAACTTAAACTAATTTGCTCATTTCCAATTTATTGGTAGATGTTGCACGTAAATGGTCTTCCTAGATCTGGAAACAATATTTCCCAAAGACCTATAATCTCTCAGAAGTGGCCAAAGATTAACATTTATTATTGGTTTTTGACTGAAACGCATCTATATGAGATACAGACATTTGACTATATTCTTCAACGAAATCAGAGTTAACGAAATAGTCAGAAGTGCGTCTTTCCTGTATTTGTGAATTCTCCAAAAAGTCACTTTGTCTACAAAAGTTGGCAAACTATTTCACACATTGAATATTTTTGGATGGCCATCCGAAACTGCTTGGCTTTTGCAATATGCGGTAACCCCCATTCAAATGTGCGTGACGATCGGGCGCTAATTACGACCTGCTGATAATTTTGCAGTTTTTTGGTCCATTTCAACTCCTAAATATATGGCGATCATCTCCAAAAAGAGTAGGCTTCTATTCTGACCCTCATCTTATCCCCATGCAAAATTTCGTAAGGATCGGGCCATAAATGAGATCTGTATATGATATCCTGATATTCTAACTACTTAGTTTTGTTAGCTGTAGAAATATTACCAAATGTTTAATTCAAAATGAAAATATGCCAAAAATATGACAAAATTGAAAAAATATGAGAAAATATTACAAAATCAATATTTTCATCTATAGATAGATATTTTTATGCGATTTTTTTAGACGTTTTTTCTTTCCTGCCAAGAAGCCATTCTGAATTAATGAGAACTGTCGAAATCAGTTCAGCCGTTCTCGACATATAAGAGATCTTTCAAGCATATCTTCTTTGATAGACATATATATCGCACATATTTTGCTATATCTCCGATTTGTTGGATGTTAACATCAATGCAAAGGTCAGAAGTAAACTTGTCATGGCTTAGCGATTTCGCCGGGAATTAAAATATTCGCGGTTTAATGAAAAATTTTGATTTTTTTCAACAAAAAAGATATGGTCTATTTTAGCCGCTAAATATTATCCGATGACCACCCAAATTGGTAGGCTTCTTCCCCGCCCTAAACTCTAGCTACATGCGAAATTCCGCGTCGATTGGTCTATAATTGCGACCAGTAGAGAAAGTGCAAAATCAGAAATTTTTTCAGTTTTTGGTCCATTTCAACCCCTAAACATTTGGCGATCATCTCCAAAAGAAATAGGGTTCTATTCTGACATTAACCCCACCTACATTTTAAATTTCGTAAAGATCGGGCCATAATTGCGACCTGTAGAGTGATTACAAATTAACATGGACAGACGGACAGACGGACGGACGGACATACATAGCTAGATCGACTCAGCTCGGCGAGCTAGGAAGATCCATATATACTTTCCTATATGGGAAATCAATATTTCGAGGTGTTACATAAATTCTGGCCCAATCAAACTTATAATACCCCCAACACATAGTGTTGTAGGGTATAAAAACAGTAAAAAAAGTTCTAAAGTCGGGCGCGGCCGACTTTTTGTGATACCCTACACCACTTTGCTTATTTGTTACAGCTCCTCATAACAATTAAAAGTTTTTATGGGAGAATTCAATCATGCACACTATGATTATAATTATTATTTAAAGTTGTGCAAAATTAATTTGAAATCAGATAAAGGTATATATGGGAGCTATATCCAAATCTGAACCGATCTCGATAAAATTTGGCAAAGATATTTCTGAGCTGTATTTGATATATTTCCCTAATTATCATTGTTACAGACTGCATATTACGGTTGTGGGTAACAAATATAACAAATCGGATGAACAGTATATATAGAAGATATAGCTATATCTGAACCGATCTTCACCAAATTTGACATGCTAGCTTCGAGACTCAATTCGTTCGTAGGTTCCAAATTCCATCCCATTTAGACAAATATTAGACGTTTGGTGCACAATAAAAGGTAAATCGGACGAACTTATATATGGGAGCTATATCCAAATTTGAACCGATCACGATAAAATTTAGCAAATGTATTTCTGAGCTGTATTTGGTATATTTCCATAAATATTGTTGTTACAGAGTGCATATTACGGCTGCAGAGGACAAAAAATAACAAATCGGATGAACAATATATATGGGAGCTATAGCTATATCTGAACCGATTTGGCATACTTATTTTCAGGCCAAATTTGGTTGTATGTGCAAAATTTCATACCATTCGGGCTGATGTTATGTATGCAAAACCAATAACAATGCTGCATATTTGTACATACGCGGCAGTGAAATTTTATTGCGGCGCGTTTTAATAGAATTGTTATCAGCTACAATGAGCGCCAAAAAACGTTATGTGAACACATATACATGTAGGGGCATGGCACAATAATTTACCCAGAGAGTTAACAATGTCATTTGTGTGAAGAATGCTGATGTAATCGACTAAATCCTTAATAATAAACCTAAAACAAAAGTTAGTTACTAAATAACACCACCTACCACGAGGTTGAACAACGAAATCCTACAAATACCTACCGGCACGCGTACCAGAGAGAACTAATAACTATCGATAGCTATTACTTTATCTGTGGCAAACCGCTTGCCAATTCTACAGGGTGAGCTAAAAAAACTGCAACAAAGTCAAACGCCATAATTTTTACATTTTTTTAACTTTATTCAATAAAAGCAAAAAATGTCAGAAATAGCATCAAATTTAGAATGAGTTTAGATTTGTTCGAATTGGCCACCTTTGGCATGAATTATGGCCTTCAAACGGCCAATGAAACCGTCACACGCTGCCCGCATGTTGCTCTGCGGTATTTTGGCCCATTCGCAGCGAAACGCTTGCTTGAGGTAATCGACACTTTGGTATTTTTAGTGCAAACCTTGCTTTCCAAAATACTCCAGACACAACAGTCCAACGGATTGGTATTCAAAGATTTTGGTGGCCATTGTGCGCTTGAAATGAAGCGAGGAACCTCATTTTGTAACCATTTTTGGGTGGCGCGTGCTGAGTGCGATGGTGCTGGTTCCTGCTGGAATGCGGCCAAAATGTTTGCGTGCAAAAGGCTTTAATACACCCTCCAGAATATTTTCGCGATAATATTCGGCATTTATTCTGATGCCACGGTTGATTAATATGGGCGGAGAGCAATCATCGGCTGTTATGGCGGCCCACACCATCACCATGGCCGGCGCTTGAGTTCTAGTGGCCAACCGAAGGTGCACATTTTCAGCTGAGCTCTTTGGCAAGTAAAGACGATCATTTTGTTCGTTTACAAACTGCTGGATTTAAGTTCTTGCGATTTAAGTTCTTGCACTTTTTGGATTTTTTGGCTTTACACCGAGCTCATTTTTCAGTATTTGCCGACCATTGCGACGCGGGTTTTAATCAAGTCGCTTCTTTATTTTTCGAACCATTTCAGCTGATGTTGCTGTTTTCTTTCGTCCACTTCCTTGACGTCGAGCTACGCTACCAGTATCACGGTAACGAGCGATTGTATGAGACACAAAAGATTTATTTACATTTAAATGTTGGAGTGCTCTAACCATAGCCACTTGTGGTTTTCCAGCCAAATATAAAGAAATCACATAAGTATCACGCTTGAATTTCATCCCGAATAACTTTTTTTCTGGAAAATTCTCACCGAAATGCTTTTGTACGCTTGTAAACCATATAATGAGCTTTCACGGGAATAATTTTAACTGCTGCTATTCGAATCGATTCTCACCTATTTCAATAGGGTTCGTCCTTGGGCCAAACAAATATTGTTTGGAAAATTTCATCCCAATCTGCATTTTATTCACAAATACATATACAGTTGGACTGACTTGCATAAATCGACTCAGAAAGTGATTGTATAAAGCTTCTCGAAAAGTAACTATGGGTCTCTCTCGATTCCTGCTCCGTGTTACAAACAAATGCACAAAGACATAGTACTCTTACCACTATGTGGAGTAGGGTATAAAAATATGAATTCTTTAGAGTGTGTGACATGTACTGTATATTCCGCATTAATAATGTTCCGGAATTGCAAGAATGTTAAACTTTTTATTACGATTATCGATATACACTTTTTCTTGACGCTCACTATAGGCATTTCTATTTACACTTGATGTGTGGCCTTGTGGAATTAACATCAAATTGTTCATTTCACAAATAGACATTTTGATAAAAAATCGCTAATGATAATGCTTACTTTGCTGCACCGAAATCGAGAAGAAGTATTTTATATATGAAACAGAACTTTATGTCTTTACCTTTTTTTATTTATTTTAATACGTCAAACAGTATCGCCGAGCGAAAACGAGAAGCGTCCTACTCCACTAAGTAAAATTTGTGAACTGAATAAATGAACTGACAAATATTTATTAAAGTGCACAGTGCATCGATTCTCTCTCCAAATGCTCTCTTTCTCTCTCTTTTTTATACTCTCCGCCATAGTATGGAAGGTATATTAAGTTTGTCACTCCGTTTGTAACACCTCGAAATATACATTTTAAACCCCACATATTATATATATTCTTGATCAGCAAAAAATTCTATGTTCTAGCTTCCGAACGAAATGAAGCAGGTTGATAAAATTTTATGTATATTATGTCTGCGGGACTTTTGGTATTGAAAATGGGTCATGTAGGTCCACGTGTTGGTATAGCCCCCATATTACGGTACCTCCCGATATTCGGTTTTTTTTGATTTTGGCGACATTATTCACCGGAATTGTTTTAAATTTGGTATTTGAAGTTCGTAATGGGTACTAAAGCCTATGACAGAAAATTATCTGTGCAGGTCCACGTCTTCTTAAAGCCCTCATATATAACGGAATCTGCCGATATTCGGTAATTCGTATATTTTAACAGAATTTCTTTTTGTTGCAAAATAGTCATGCTTAATCCCTTTGTTGTTGTTTTTACAAAAACAACGTTTTTACAAAAACAACGATGGTCATGTTTACCAGGGGGTAAGGCAGGGAATATCTAGGTTTTGGAAAGAGTCACCAATCCTCATCAGTTACCTTGTTTTTTGTCTGGGATATTCTCCCCAGAAGTTATTTCAAAAATAACTTCTATGACAAAAAAAAAACATTTTTTTACCCAAGTGACAAGATCGTAAGCTCAATAGAATTTTTTAATAATATTTAATTTTTTTATTTATATTTGTTTTTGAAAATTGCCAAATTCGTTTCAAATGCTGGAGGGTATTCAAAGTTCGGCCGAACTTACAGTTTTTTTTACTTGTTATGGTCTTAAGAGTCGATGGTCATCGAAAGTTTTTATGTGACGTACGATGGTGAGAGAGTAGGAGGTGAGGGTGATGCGGGTGTACGGAAATATAAAAAGAAACGCAAAATCGTACTCGCTTCTAGAGTACAAGTGAACTCAGCGGTTCGAAGTGATCGCAGAAGATCCCATGTCTATTTACAATACATATACATACAAATACAGACAAATGAACGCACAGGATATATGTGATCGCAGAGGATCCCTTGTCCCTTTTTATTAAGTTCGTCGTTCCGTTTGTAACCCACCGAAATAATCTTTTTGGACCCAACAAAGTTCACTGGTGGCCAAAACTAAGGCAACTAAAATCACAAAGACAATAAAGGCCCAGTAACTTTTACAAAAATAAACAAATCGAAATTATTTTTCCAGTTTTAAAGGAGGTACTTAATTCACTTTTAAAAAACTAAAAATAAAAATACAAAAATAGTTTTGAATTTAAAATAATATGAGGAAATCTAAAATGACCCAACTTTTGATTGGTCAAAACTAAAACAACTTTTTGTTGTTTTATTTTAAAATAATTAAATTTTGGCTATTAGTCGCTAGCACCCATTATTTTTAATAGCAGCGGCACACCTACGAGGCATTGAATCTGTAAAACGCTCAATTTGATCCTTGGGTATGCTTTCCCAGTCAACCTGAATTTTTTGGAAATTCTTGTGTTTATTTGGTTCCGAACCTCGCTTGATCTTCCTGTCTACGAGACTCCAAAGGTTTTCGATGTGGTTTAGGTCGGGTGATTATGCCGGCCATGACAAAACACCGATTTTTGACTCACGCAACCATCATTGTCATGCTGAAACACCCAAAATAGCCGAATATTTTCCTCAGCGGTAGGGCACAATGTGATGTCCAACACATTTTTGTAAACAAACCTATCCATAACTTCCTTTATTTCAAGGATAGGCTCAAGTCCATAGAAAGAGAAAAAAACAGCACCGCACCAATTTCGACCCTCCCCCATGTTTCACTGCACCTATGCAACATTTGAGGATTGAGTCTTTCGTTTTTTGGTCTTCTCACCTTAAAATTGTTCATGTCTGAGACTCATCCCAGAATAAAATGTTTTTCCATTGAACTGGATTCCAATTCATATTATCGTTTCCGAAAGTCATCCTGGCTTTCCGATTTTTTTAGATAGGGTAAGTGTACCAGTAGTCGGTACTTTTAGGATTTTCGATTTTTCAACTTCTGAGTGAAATCTTTCAATTGCTAAAAAATAAAGTTGTTAAGATTCCAAATTTTGTTCAGTTTTCGATTTTTTTTGTCCAATTTGACGTAGAGCGTCAGCAGAATAATTTGTATTGTGTCTAGGATGGTTGGTATTGAAAATGACATATATCGGTCCACGTTTTGGCATAGCCCCCATATAGCGGTACCTCCCGATATTCGGTATTTTGATGATTTTTGCCGCATTTTTTCATGGATTTGTCTAAAAATTGGTATTTGTTGGTCATAATGAGTTCTAACTCCGGTGGCGAAACATTGCATGTATAGGTCCACCTTTTGGTATAGCCCCCATATAACGGTACCTCCCGATATTCGGTATTTCGATGATTTTTGTCGCATTTTTTCATTGATTTGTCTGAAAATTGGTATTTGTTGGTCATAGTGGGTTCTAGCTCCGGTGGCGAAGCATTGCATGTATAGGTCCACCTTTTGGTATAGCCCCCATATAACGGTACCTCCCGATATTCGGTATTTCGATTATTTTTGCCGCATTTTTTTCACTGATTTGTCTAAAAATTGGTATTTGTTGGTCATAGTGGGTTCTAGCTCCGGTGGCGAAACATTGCATGTATAGGTCCACGTTTTGGTATAGCCCCCATATAACGGTACCTCCTGATATTCGGTATTTTGATGGTTTTTGTCACATTTTTTCACGGATTTGTCTAAAAATTGATATTTGTTGGTCATAATGGGTTCTAACTTCGGGGGCGGAACATTGCATCTATAAGTCCACGTTTTGGTATAGCCCCCATATAGCGGTACCTCCCGATATTCGGTATTTTGATGATTTTTGCCAAATTTTTTAATGGGTTTGTCTAAAAATTGGTATTTTTTGGTCATAATGAGTTATAACTCCGGTGGCGAAACTTTGCATCTATAAGTCCACGTTTTGGTATAGCCCCCATATAGAGGTACCTCCCGATATTCGGTATTTTGATAATTTATATATATTTCATGGATTTGTCTAAAAATTGGTATTTGTTGGTCATAATGGATTCTAACTCCGGTGGCGAAACATTGCATGTATAGGTCCACGTTTTGGTATAGCCCCCATATAGCGGTACCTCCCCATATTCGATATTTTGATGGTTTTTGTCACATTTTTTCACGGATTTGTCTAAAAATTGATATTTGTTGGTCATAATGGGTTCTAACTTCGGTGGCGGAACATTGCATCTATAAGTCCACGTTTTGGTATAGCCCCCATATAACGGTACTTCCCGATATTCGGTATTTTAATTGTAATTTCGCGTAGAAGCAATTTTAATTGGCAACTGCATCC